TTCTATAAATAATTAAATCCATCTGATCCAGTGTGTCCTTTAGAGTCACTGTTTCCTTGTCACGTTTTTGTCTGGAAGATCCATCCAGTGAAGTCAGCAGGGTGTTAAAGTCCCCTGCTATGACTGTATTGTCGTCAATCTCTCCGTTAAAGTCTTCTAGCAGTTTTTTAAATATATTTAGGTGGTCCTATATTGGGTGTATATATGTTTACCAGGGTTCTATCTTCTTGTTGGATCCATCGCTTTAGTATTATGTACTAAAGTGATCTTTGTTGTCTTTTATGATGGCCTTCATTTTTAACTCTATTTTTTCGGATATGAGTATTGCTACTCCTGCTTTTTGTTCCTTTCCATTTCCATGGAAAACATTTTTTTCCATTCCTTCACTCTCATCCTGTGTATGTCTTTTGTTCTGAGGTGGGAATCTTATAGACAGTATATAGTTGGCTCATATTTTTGTATCCATTCAGTTATCCTATCCCTTTTGATTAGAGTCCAGCCGTGGGCAAACTACGGCCCACGGGCCGAATCCGGCCCGTTTGAAATGAATAAAACTAAAAAAAAAAAAGACCATACCCTTTTATGTAATGATGTTTACTTTGAATTTATATTAGTTCACACAAACACTCCATCCATGCTTTTGTTCCGGCCCTCCGGTCCAGTTTAAGAACCCATTGTGGCCCTCGAGTCAAAAAGTTTGCCCACCCCTGGATTGGACCATTTAATCCATTTACATTTAGGGTTATTGATAGGTACTTATTTGTTGCCATTTTAATTCTGTATGTGTAGGTTTCGCTCTCTGTTTCTCCTTCTCATTACAGCAGTGCCTATCGCATTTCTTGTAATGCTGGTTTGGCAGTGATGTACTCCTTTGGGCATTTTTTTTTTTTTTTTGGTCTGGGAAGCTCTTTATTTGACTGTTTATTTTGAATGATAGCCTTGCTAGTTATAGTGATCTTGGTTTCAGATCCTTGCTTTCCATTACCTTGAGTACTTCATGCCATTCCCTTCTGGCCTATAGATTTTCTGATGAGAAGTCAGGTGTCAGCCTTATGGGAACTCCTTTGTAGGTAACAGTTTGCTTTCCTCTTGCTGCCTTTAAGATTCTCTCTTGGTTTTCAATTTTTGGCATTTTAATTATGATATGTCAGGGCACAGGCCTGTTTGGGTTCTTCTACTTGGGGTTCTATGTGCCTTCTGAACCTGTGTGACTTTTTCCTCCACCTGGTTAGAGAAGTCTGCCATTATCTCATCAAACATTGACCAGCTGGCTCCTGCACACCCCCTACTAGGGACTGAGCCAACAACCTGGGCATGTGCCCTGACCAGAAAGTGAACTGGCAACCTTTTGGTACATGGGATGATGCTCAACCAACTGAGCCACACTGGCCAGAGCCACAAGCTATCTTTGAGAATGAGATGAGATAGCACTTGGGGAAGAAAATTCACTTAGCAAATGTTTATTGACACCTTTCGTCTATTCAGCTACTGTGTTATATTAATATCAATTGTCAGTGTGTTTTGTGCATTAATTGACCAGTAGCATGCGTTGAGTGTTTGCATTTAAAGCAAATAGACACAGAGAGATTTACAAAATTTGCACAGGTGCCTGCTGGAGTGAGAAGCAGGATTCAAACCCAGATCTGAGCCCCAGGTTGCAGCTCAACATCTATAATCTCACTGCCTTTAACAAGATCGCCCTTCTCTTTGCAGAATGACCCAGTGAAGACAGCCAAAGTGGAGTGTGGGGACTTTTACAACACTGGGGACAAAGCAACTATTGACGAAGAGGGCTACATCTGGTTCCTGGGGAGGGACGATGACATCATCAACTCCTTGGGGTAGGTGTGGCTGACCTGGGGCCTGGCAGCTCTAGCTTGCTTCACCATTCCTCCATGCACTGGGGATGGGGGACCCTCATATTCCTGATGCAGCCATGTCTACAGGGCCCTGGCCGGGGGTATCTGTGTATCTCCCCCAACATCAAAATAAAGGTCAAGAAGAAGTGGAAGTGCAACCACAGTAGACATCGTGCAATTTAAAGAGGGGATATAGGACTGGGAAGGGAGGCCTTATTTGAGCCCCTATCTGTCCCCATTGGTTGGGGGAAATTATTCTCTGTGTTCCTCTA